TGTGATATTCCATTCCATAATAATTGTTTAACGAAATAACGTTTAGTTTTCATATTGGAATAATATTGAGAGAAGCTTATTATTTTTCATAGTTTTAGTAGTTTCAGAAAATGGTATGTGTCATTTATGATCTTGTGTCAATAACAGTATTTCTGATAAATTAAAGAAATAGACATTCGATTCGAGAAAAATAAAAGTCTTATTACATACGAATGTTAAAGACGAAATATTTCAAACTCATTATAATATTTACCTCGACCTATAAAAGCTCTTACGAAACACAAAGATTACCGAAATAATATTAAAAGATTCGATTTAATTTAATGTACTCGAATAATAAAATAGTAAATATATCTTTTTTCGACAAAAGAATTTCTTATATGTTTAGCATAAATATCTAACCACGACATGTACAAAGTAACTGAACGAATTTCTACATTTGCAAAAATATTTTGATACTCAGCAAAGATAGTGTTCACAATGCGTCACATATTTTCCAGGGACATTTTGATAATTGTAATGACAAGAGGATCCGTTCGTAGACGATCAAGCTGGATCATCCCTGTATTCCATCAACGTTGAACACCTGCACGGGATTCGCAATTGTCGGGTATTGGTACGGGAGAAGATTCGATCGACGCGTCCATTAATTTTCGTGATCGAATAATGGTCGTCGACATTCATTCGTCTCGTGTCAGTCGAATGAATTTGTTTCGGAGCGAAACGCGACGTTCAACGATGTCCCACGAGGACGTCGCGTCGACCGCGACTCGCTTCCGCGATTCACGGAAAGATTCGTCTTGGCGAAGCGCGAGATTCCTAGACCTCGGTGGAGTGAGTTTGGATTCGCACCTTCTTCTGTGACCCATTTCTGGAAAGGGTCGGACTGTGCGCTGAGAATCCAGGATTGTGGATGCCAAGCGGTTTGGGCTTCTTCAGGGAACTTCGAAGCGGCGAAGCCGCGCTTCCCACGCTTCCGGAAGTCGCCACCGAGGCCATTGAACCGTTTCCGGCACCGCCGACGTAAGGTTTGCCGCTGGCATCGGTCATCGAGATGGCGCCGCCTGAAATCCAACAGCAGATATTTGTTTATTTTATATCCTTTTATTTTATTTCCATTGACTATTTGATACAAATATTATAACTAGACTGCAGATTTTAATGCAAATGCATGTTTTTATAAGTCTAATGTAATTATATTACTTTCCATCTTACACATATTTTAGTTAAAAGACATATTTATATACATATGCGTTACATGCGAAGTCGTTTTTTGAAGTAACATCTTGGACTTTGACGAAATCTGTAGACTTTATTGATATTTGAAAGCATCTCAAAATATTTTCGAAAATTTCGAAAATTATCGAGTTTACAACTATTAGGTTGTCCCGAAAGTTTCTTTCACGAATTGCATTCAATTATTTTATGTGGTCGTGTTTATATAAATAGACAATCTAATTTCATAGATATTCATGTTGTAACAGTAATGGAGCAAAATGAATCGTGCACAATTCAATAATGTAACATAAAACATAAAATATTGTGCATGTATTACTTATTAATAAAGCGAAAGGAACTTTTAGGACAATCTAATATTTGAAAACCTCTCCGTAAAAAGGATAAATAAAGCTATGTACTCACAGTTTTTTAAATTTTGAAAAGAGTGCGTAGTATAAGAACAAGGCATTTGTTTAAACCAATTTATTGAAAAAACAATTAAAAAATTGTTTTACAAACAATAAGGCGTTCGTATTATTAGAGAAAATTCTTTTTTTCCTATTAAGATTTCAGTCACTCTTAAATTCTAACACAGAATTCAAACACCCTCACATCACCTCCTTGCTCTTTCCGTGCTTACAATTTACGCAATTTGTCTTGGTTTTGTAGGGCTTCGCATCGTATGGATGTTTCACTTGAGTTTCCAATAGAGCTTCTGAGGAAACTCTACGTAACACTGGTACGTTAATAGAAATGGGAAGGATGCGAAATATCAACAATAAATAAATAACTAGTAGAATTTGATTTAACGAATCACACGAGTAAAAAGTATATAAGAAAAAAATAATTTAAAATATGCTTTTATTTATAAAATCCACTAAAAAGTAGAAAATAATTTTATTTCCCTAGTGGCAAATAATAAGTAGATTTTTTAATAGTTTCGGTCCATGGTTTTATTTTTAGTGGCATTAGCCTACATATACTACATATGTTAGGAGAAAAAAATTAATAAATACTTCGTTGTGCATTTTATAAATAGAAGTATATTTTATAAAGTGTTTCGTTTATACATTTTTTACGTTTGATCGTGCATGGACTTTCTATTAAATGTTTATAATCACTGTTATTGCAAAATTTCTATTCTTTGATGCAACTCGGACAGAAATTAACTGATCGAGATGAAACCATTCACATTTAATCACAGCTGATTTTATAATCTTCCCATTTGGACAAATTTATGAATTTATTAATATTTATAATAGTTGTTACTGCAAAATTCCTATTCTTTGATGTACTGCGAAAAGGAATTAACTTTGAATATTTAATTAAATTTGTCATTTAAATTTGAAATAGAAATTGAATTTTAAGCAAACAAAAAACGCTATATATTAATGGATAAAAAGGATTAGGATAAAATTCAAAGAAATTCTTTGGTAAGCTTGAAAATTACCTTGTAGCGAAAAAGGAATATTGAGGAGAGTAAAAGATTCAATAGCTATGGCCATCAAAGATTTATTTCAAAAGATGGATTAAAGCATCCTCATAATAAGAAGCTTTTGCGGTTTTAATAATTTACTATAAATTAAACTTCCAGAAGGAATCTTGAATAACCTTTTTCTTTCTTACAATAAAAGTATATATAAAATTAAAATTGAGCATCGATTTTTTCTTGACGAAGGATAATATGTTTGGAGGTTTAATCAAAATAGACGTTTTTCACGAATGAGATGTTGAATGTCTTATGGAATTATAATTCTAACTATTTCAAGTACTTCGGCTATGTGTTACATGCCTTGCACTTAAAAGAAATATTTTAATTACAGCGGGGTAGATAATTACAAGAGGGAACAGCAATGATATAATTTCAACAATTAATCTCGGAATTTTTCATTAACATGCAAGACAACTAGGATCACGTTTACAACAGCATAATATTATTCACAGCCCGATTCACGGGTCTTGTTTCTTTATGTTACTATTCAAATATATTCCTACTACTCTATTCTGTTTTTCAATAACCACGATTTCCTTTATCATTCTTGATTTTACAATTTAATTTATTATCGTTATAAGCATTCTTCACGAACCTAGCATATGTTTTTCTTCAAATTCTATCTATTTAAAAAGTGGTCTTAAACGAAGAATGTCCGCAAATTGAACAGCTCTCGACTCTTTATTTTATCGATGGTTACAGTAAATATTTATTTGATAAAAATAGTATTTAATTGTTATAACCCGTGGTGACTGTAATAAACAGAATTTACATGTATAACTTATACTTATAACTTATGCAAATTATTCAAATGAAAGAAAAATAATTCAATATTATATCGTAAAAATAGAATCACCAGATAATTTCAAATGATTAGATTAAGTTATATAAAGTCATCACATATGAAAATCATAACAGCTAGACATTTATTTCAATAATGTGAATTTATGGTGCCTTACACTTTATACACCTCTACAAACATTTTAATAATTATGTTACAATAATAAAAAACTCATGTCAATCTTTATTGCTTAAATTTCTCCAGTATTTATATTGAAATTAATGATGAAAGCAAACGTGGTAACTAGCAGTTTATAAGGAATCACTAAATAGTTTAAGCAATTCTCGGAGAAGCAGGAATTTTGACTGCCTTGGAGTAACGTTCTCAAAGGACTGTATTGACGTTCGTGCACCGTATCCCACGCGGAAATTTGTCAAGACTTCCTTTAATTGACCGTGCGACCGACGCACAGTGGTCCGAATGGGCGAAAACCTGGCCAAAATGCAATTTTTGAAGTTTCGAACACACTTTTTTCAATATTGTCCGTGTGTTGCATACATATGAGTGCATTAAATGCCGCTTGAAATTTTAAAAAATAGTAATCGGTTACTGATATGCAGAGGTTCAAAGATGACGAAATTTCATGCTCCTTGATATCGTGAAAAGTGGCGCATGTTTATTGAATCATAGAAAGTTTATCCTCAATAGATTCATATGTAAATCATTTTACGATAAAAGTAGATGTTATAAACATAAACTTTCCACAAGAACAAAGTAAAATATCTTTGGATCCACTATTTTAATTCCCTTCTCAATATGGTATAAATTTTAGTTATCTTTCGATGAATCGGAAGGAAAACAAAGATGATAGTCACCGAGTGACACGGTCTGTCAAGTTTCTTGATATAAAGTAACATGTCAGGTATGATATCCAATTGAGAAAACTTGCGCAAATTTGCTCCATTTTAAGTTATTTAAATTTAAAGTGCCAAATAGGAATATTTACAATCTGTCCAACCAGCATAACTTGTTGATATATCTGTAAAGGTTAATATATTAGTATAAAACTTAATATAAAATGAAAAAAGAAGTATGTAAAACACTAATACGTTTTTACTTAATAATGGATCCGAGATTATAATTTGTCAAAGTTTCGGTTACAAGAGGCTAGATTAATGTAACCTACTTTTGAAAGATCTACTTTTCCATTTATTTAAACGAAACTGAAGACTAAAAACAGCATTCTTTATTCTAAAATTTATGAATCTTGGTCAGCTTATCATGAAAAAGCAGTAGTGGCGTCGCATCGCTTTGCGCCATGCTTACAAGGAAAAAAAGACTGTTTACGCGGAATTAAAACAAACTTTATTATCCTTAATTTTAATTTAACATTAATTTATTATTGTTATTTCTGACAATTTATTCTAAGTATGTTGCCCTATAAACCTAGAACTCCTATTTCGTAACAAAATTCATAATAATTTCATATTTTTAGTATGCATGTCGACCATATTGGATCTGCCATTTTGAATTTTGCAATTTTGATACTAGATTCGTAATTTGCGGCCCAAATAACCCTAAAACACCAAGTTTCAGGAAGATCCGAAAACTCCTTGTAATTTTGGCCAGGTTTTTGGCCATCCGCACCACTGTGCGACGCAGCCAGTCAACACGCAGATTCTCATCATTCGAAACGTAAAGTGTTTGCGGAAGAGAAATACTTCCTCCGCGTTTCGTCGCTCGTTTCCAGTCCACTTTGCTCTTTGTTTCACGCTTCTCCATTTGAAATCCTCTTCTACGTGCATCCCGTTTTTTTTTTGCCTTTAGCATATTGACTGTCACGCGTACCACTTTATTTGATTTTCTTTTTCGACTTTCGCATACTTAAATATGCTTTGTATAAAGCCTTAATTAAGTTCCTAAAGGATGCGAATATTATACTATAGATATGCCGCGGAAAATACAGATATAAACATATAAAAAACACGAACTACTTTAAGAGAGAAATTTATATTTTGCTATTACATGTTTGCTACAATAGTACGGGTATCACTAAGACGTTGTCAGTATTGTTATTAATTTTATAATTTTATATCGTAGATTAGAAAAAAAAGAGAGAGTGAAAGATTAAGACTAGCATTCATAAAGGGGGATAGGAAAAGAGAATGCAACTCTCTACACCAAAAGCAAAAGAGTACAATTTGTAGAATAAGGAGCAAGCGAAAAGAATAGACTAGGAAATTAGGATAAAATGTAAGCATTAACTGGCATAAAAATTAAAATAACACTAGCGAGTAAATATTAAAAAAAAAATGTACAAATAAAACATACAAATAAAACAGTATTATTGTAAACCGTCAAACAACCAGCGTCGCGTAGAAAATAAGTAAATAGAGTACGCAGTTAGATATAAGGAAAGAACATTGTGAAAAGGAAATGTATTTATAACAAAATAATTTGTTACACAATAAAGAGATATAGATACATACATATGCTTTGTATATTTTGCTTTCTTTATAAAAATTTCTTTATAAAAATTTCGATTTTGGCTTATTTTAAGGGGACCAAATATTTTGGGGTTTACTTACCCTGTTGTTTTTATATCCAATAAATATAATTGAATGTACAACGTATAATCTGATATTATGGGAGTAAAACAAAATAAGCATATTTTTCGTTACTTGACCTTAACGGTTTCTCTATTGTCAACGTATTCTTTCTTCTTTACGAAACTTCCATTGTCTCTTTACTCCTTCTAACTCCTGTATATCTTCTCTATTTTCTCCCATCAACTTGACTTCCATCACACTCACATCTGAAGACATTTCTCTGGCATATTGAGTTTCCATCAGCTGCCAAGCGAAGGTCTCTCCTTCGTGTTACGCGGTAACCTTTTCTCGTGGGAGAAACCCTCAAGGGCATCCCATTGACGTCCTATCGACATTTAAGATTCATTCTCGTAGGACGAACCCTTGGCGAAAATAGAATGAAATATTCAGGAAGTTGGTATAAAGCGATTTAAAATACAAGGGGATCCGCATTTCAAACCCACGTTCTTGCAGGGATTTGCGCTTTTAAAATTACTAGAATTCTAATGCATTCCAGTGATTTCTGCAATCTATACGTATATACAGTTTTATATATCGTTTTAATACACAAATAAAGGATAATTCGTGTTTCTAGCTAAGAAGGATATATCGAATCATTGATTTTTTTAAACCTAGTTGTAAGTCTTATTTTACTGGAAATTCTGCAATTTGACAAATATATATTTTGGAAATAGTAAATAAAAGTGATAATTATAAATAATCCGTTTAACACTTTTATATGAATTAGTTAAAATTATGATTTTACTTTATGGATGTTTTTTACATTTCTTGAGGAGTATTTAAGTTGGAAGAATTCATATCTGTGATTATTTATACTTTTATCTCTTTTTTTTAGATGTGTTACACAGGTTACTTATAATTAATGCTTTTATTTATCACTTTAAGAAGTACATTTTTAAATAGTTTACATAGAAATAAATATTTTGGAATTTATTGTTTAGTGAAAACCGCAGAAAACCATCTCTACACTAATTCTATGAATCAAAATTGATTTTAACAAAATATCCACGTTTGTTGAAGTTGGTGAATACTATACCGTTCTCTATACCGTTCTGCTTTGTCAGAATGTCGTGTGTAACCTTCAACGTAACCCGTTTAACGTGGCGCTCCACCGCGAAGCCATTATTAGTAGATAAATGGATGTTTCCCTCGTTAGTCGCATAAATGACATTCCGATGAGAGAAGGCTTTTCTTTCGCGCTAAAAGCTAGAAGTTTCTCTTTATTCTAACAAAATCAGCATTTCTCTCTTCGATACTAAAAATATATATTCATAAAAGAAATCTACTAAAAAGATTGGATTGTCAAACGATGGCGAAATAAAAGTAATCTTTGATAAATTGAAAAACTTAAAAACCATAAATGTAAGTTATGTCAAAATCATGTTAACTCAAAGCTTAAATAGACAAACTCTATATATACATTGCATATAAATGTTAAGAAAATTTCGACATATTCTGTATATATATCTTTGATTAAAACAATTAATTAATCAAATTAATACTAATCAAAATTATTAGAAGTGATGTTTGTTGAATTCGAATCAATAACGTTGATTTTACATATCATAGAGGAACAATTTGTAGCCGTAAAAATAAAATGAAAAATTCATTCTTCACCCTGTTCATGGTTAACGAATAATAACAGTCTTTGTTTCTGTCTAAGATATTTTGCTTTAAACCTTCGAGTTTTATATCCTGTTCCTCAAATTTTACATTTATCTGGTGTCATAAAAAAAAAAGTCTGGTAAGTGGACTACGACTATCACCAATTAAATTAATATTAATGATCGCATTGAATATTTTACTAAAATAGAACAGTAGTTACATATACGAAAAATATAAAAGCATGAAAAAGAATAAGCAAAAAAACAGTGAAGTTAAATTCCACTAGACTTTGTTTGTATTAGGTTGTTCCAAAAATTTCTTCCGTTTTATTAAGAATTAATACATACACAATATTGTATGTTTTATGTCACATTACTGAATTGTGTACGATTCATTTCGCTTCATTACTGTTACAGCATCAATATCTAAGAAATTAGATTGTCTATTTATACAAACACTGGCACAGAAAATAATTGAATGCAATTCACGAAAGAAACTTTTGGGACAACCTAATATAATTAATCATACTAGTAAGTGCGTTCTTTGTACTCTTCCAATGTCCTTCGATTATTCCTTTCTCCTTATTTCCTTTCATAAGAAGTGCACGTCTTCAAATAACCGACGAAACAAGTTCTGTCGTAGAAATACTAAAACATCATGTCTTCTTTTAAAGAACACGCTCCAAGTTGAAATTTGAATAAGTTTTTCATCGTCCATTAGTTCGTAGCGAGTGTAGTTCCAACTTTGTTTCTCCTCTTTAATCAAATTTCATCATGGTACGTATCCTCAAGTTCCGTGACGTTAAATTGAAATGAAGTTTGAAATATGAATTAAGAAGACAAACGCACGGACACAAACCTGCATTTGATAGCGTAATCTCCGTGGCATTAAACTACGAAACTTCTGTCACAATTTAACCGATTATCTACTCTACACTCGAGACGAGAATCTACGAATTAGAATTAAATGGCAGGAAACCGAAACGTACATCATTTATGACTTACGTGTCCTTTACAGACATTATTCTACATCATTTATTCTACGATTCGCGTGTCTCTTTTCATCATATTACCGTTTGCATATTTTTCTGCTATTAAAACGATCGTAAATTTATACCATAAAAAGCTACAAGAAAGTAAAAAAATATGTGAAATCGAAATGACCTGCCAGTACATGTAGGTGTTTTCCAGTACAGTGCAATGGCGACACTCTGTAACATAATCTAAAATTCGGTGCTTTCCAACTATGCGCAGCTAAAATGCTGTGTTAAACAGTGCTGACGTTCAGACCCTAATGACAACTCATGCAAAGTGACTACTTCGCACTTTGGCGGTAAAATGAAGAAGCTAAATAGCGTATCTGCCACAAACCGAGACTGTTTGGAAATTTGCCTAGATTTCCGCGACCTGGAAGTCAAATGCTTGGCGTGGCCAGCTAAGGCATTCTCAGATCATCAAAACCCATACTTTAAAACTCTGACAGTAAAGTACACTTTCATTATTTTGCGTTTTAAAATAATTCTTATTCATCGACACCTTGACCTTGCCTTGACCACCGAAGTGTGGTCTGGGTTATGTTCAATTAGGAATCGATTCGATATCGACTGTCGGCGAATTTTAGAACCCAACATTGATTATCTTTAGAACTATGTGTTCGGATATTATTAAAGAATTCGATATCGAAAATTCCCGAGTCATGGAATTCGAGAGTAACTATTAAAAGTAAGCGTGACCTTTCCTTCTATGTTCTGAATAGTCGAAGATACCCGTTAAAAAGATTTTGTTTCCTTATTTGACAAATTAATTACTTTAAAGTAAAAAATAATTGTGATATCGACATGTATTACAATGGGCATCAGACCATTGGGAAGGTTAGGGAACAGAAAATTATTAACAAATTTTTAAAAGTATTAGTATCGATAGAAATTTAAATTGTGTACTGTATGATCCATCTTCAATTATGCAATAGTATTTGTGTAAAGCAATTTTGAAAATGTAGATGATGTAATAAGAAATGTATTTAGAAATAATGTCACTCATAACTCAGACTCAAACTTCAGAATACTTTCGTTGTATGAATTAATAAATAAGATATACAATGATTGTTCGTTCACTCCTCGTTTCATCTAAATCATTCGAATTGCAGGAATTTGTCGAAGAATTTAAACGCTTACTCTGAAATTCTAGACACGTGCTGATAGCGTTTCCTAATGTCCCGTTCTCTGTCACAAAATCTTATCTACTACATAATCTTTATTCAATGTTAAAGGAAGAGTAATCCCCACATTATACAAAGAAGTTTTCAATTTATCTAAGAAGAACAAATTTTTATTAGCGTTTATTATATTGTAATTTACGAATAAAAACTTAATAAAGTGTAAATGAAAATGGAACCTGTGCAGATAATATACACGTAGTTTTAACCATTCTTCGTGTTTTTTTTCAGAAGTATTAGGTAGACTGGAATGGAATGGAGACTAGTAATGTCGTTTCTTTTACATTAAATTCAAACAAATTTTTGATAAATTTCTATTTTTAAGCAATTATGTAATCGTCCTCGTTATCAACAGCCATCTAGTGTGCAAATTTTCAATGACCGATAAAAATCAACGAGCTGTTGAGTGATAAACAAGGATTTAAAATTGCAAAAACGACATTACTTTCCAGTCTACCTAATAAATCAGTTTAATGTAGATGACAAAAGTAGCGTTCGTAAAGAGACGCTAAATATGCGTCAGAAAAATCATCTTATAAAAGAATTTATATTATTTTCATGCTGTTTAGTTATGCGTTAAGCAATCAATTATACTGAAGTAGCTGCTATGGAGTTTCTTGTGATCTTCATATATTATATAGATCTATGTATACATAAATGTATGCATTGATGCAGTAAGCACCATGCGGTTCTTGAAATCAATACGGAGGGTCTCGCTTCGGGTTCTAAACCCAGAATATTGGGATTCTTCCCATTTTCCTTCCTTGGGCCTAGAATCCTAAGCGAGCAATTAGCAAACTTTGAAGCGTTATAGCTTGAAAACTAATGAAAATCGTGTAAATACATAAAAGGGTAATGAATTCGTTTTGAAAAGTACTATCGCGTGGTATAACAAAAAATATATAGTTCCATTTGAAAAATGAAACTTGACCATCATATCTCGCAAGTAAAGTTATAAGTTGTTACAAGTAAATACATATGTTGCGAATTACGTTGTGCTTGGTCTCATTTTTATTAGAAAAATGTCAGGAATACGATGGTAACAGTTTTACAACAAAAACGGTAATAATAAAAAAAGTTTGATCGTTGCATTAGCATTGTCTCATCGAGATATCCGATCCCGGATCACGTTACTATCCATTTATCGTAGAGAAACTTGTGCATTTAAGGAGACTGCTAAATTATACACATATATGAATATTTACAAGGTTGTCAATGATTATTTGTTTATTTCTATTAAATTTTAATAGTTCCAAGAGATGAAAGGAATTCAATACTCAATGAACTCACCGTTCGTAGGTTGATGTTCCCGGTAGCCAGGATTATTTATGGTGGCGGCATGAGGATCAGCCACAACCCTAATTTTCGTCGGGTCACCACCTCGTCGAGCATAAATACCCTCGTATACCGCGGTGACCAGCACGCCAAAGTTCAAGGCGATAGCAGCTAACTGTAACAACAAATTTTGCATCCTTCGTTTAACGGAACTGCCTCATCGGTAATTTATAGCTTTATCACGAGAACGCCCACGTTTTTACATACAATAAATTACAATGATTGAAAGTGATTCCATTTCTCTTCGCAGAATCAATTCTCTACGAGCATATGTATTAATATAAGACATTAAAGGTACAAATAGGTAATGTTTTTTCTTTTTAATTTTAAAAACATTGCCATGTACTTACTATAATCTAGAGACGCGGTAGCGTCTCGATGCCAAGTACATGAAAAATTATAAGCCACCGCGTATATTATAACGTGGCGCTACCGCGTATCTTTTACTCGTACAACAGCAATTCCAACCTAACCTGAAAATTCTTTCATTAATATCTTATCACGCCTGTAATATTTTCTAAATTTAAAGGCATTTTTCTCATGTAAACCGCATATAAGCTTTCGAATAACACCAAATTCAATAAAATCGATCTTAGCATAACATATACATCTTAAAAAATTTAATCAAGTATATTAATGGAACTAAGAACAAATCTTTCCAATCATTGAACTGCCACGTCATGTGCAAGTCTCGTAAGTACTCATTGTCAGTTACGAATAAAAGCGGAAATCGACTTAGTAATGGATTCGATTCATGAATCTCCATGGAATTTACAAAGCAGACAATTTTCCTTGCACAATACATACAGTGTGAAAAGTATTCCGAGCTGGAACGTACGATTTGTCACGAACATGAATTGAACAAATCTTTCATCGTCCTTCGCACATTTATCATGGAGTAATGTTCGAAAATCACTGAAACGAATTAAATGCAACGTTTCGTTACCATCAAGCCAGATAGTTAACGAGATTTTGACTTTGTCGAAAAGCGCTAGTAATCATAATGCGTGATGATTAATGCCGGCTCGATAAATAATATTGTTCAGGACACTCGTTGCTTAACCTCGACCATTGGTTATGTATATTTATACACGGACAAACGACATCGTTATTACGGAAAACTTTGCCGTGCATAATTGCTAGCTTTTCATTAGTAGAATACCTACAATTAACGAGAGGAGATAACAATGGGTTTAATTAAATGGCATGGAGATGAACGGTGTCCTGCAGGGGAACGCTTAAAGCAAGCAGTATTCACTAGAAGTGTAGATGTTTTTTTTTTTTTTCAGAATTACAGAATGCCCAGAAAGATACCGTACATTAATTTACTTTTTAAATGAAAGATAAGGTCTAAAGAACATAGTGCACAATAGGATACATTAACTACAGAGGGCAAAGTAAAGAATTTGTTCTAACATCTAAACACTCACATGGTAAGTAGAAAATGTTTATCTATAAATAAAAATTGTTTGAAGAAACAGTGTAAAGTATCTTCTATGACAAATCAAATGTATTAAGTTTTTCCATACGTATGCGTTTTGTAGTATTAAATAACATTAAACGTCTATCCAAAATGCAAGAGAAACATTTTCAGCTCATTTGGCATAAACTTATAACAATAAGTTTCATATCACTGAAAGGGTTGATGTTCCTGTTATTATATTTTTTCTGTTATTCTTCTTGAATAAATAATCGTATAAATAAAAAATACAGAATACAATTTAGCAAGGCTTAATTTTTAATGAAATAATTTTGAAATTTCATCGAGGACGCGTAGAAGCGGCTAACAACTAGTCTGATACGACGCGTCTGTCCATTACTCACCGTTTCCACTTGTATCAAAGTCTGTAAACATTGACGATGGTGTAGTATGTTTTGCTTCAGCTAATTCTGACTAATTAAGAGATAATAAGTTCGATGAAAAACAGACGATACCATATCGTCATTTGTGATTACGAACACCAGTGCAAGTAGAAATAATGAATAGTGAACAGACCTAGTAACCAACAAGTTGCACTCGATCGCACGTGTACTTGACGAATATTCAAAAACGATATTTAAAATACTCAAATGGATCTAGTGTTATTAACAATTATAAACAAAGACCAATTATCCAGTCTACATTGAAAAGAAATATAATTAAGTCATTCATTAAAAATACATTTAACTAGCTGTGTCCGGCGGTTTCACCCGCGTGGAATATCGACTTTTTATTTGATGTCGTTTACTCCTTCTCGCGTGTTCCTTCGTGAATCAGTAAGTGACTGTCTTTTCTTAAATTTAATAAGAATATCTTTCTTAAATTTAATTGCATATGAGCCTTTTTAGCAAATTCCTGGGCAAATGCTTCCAAAAAGAATTTTGCATTTTTCAATATTCATTTGCTTATAATTGTTAAACTAAAAAGGGGTAAACTAAACAAGCGAAAATTCCAACGGGTTATTGATGGGCAAACGTTTGCAAAAAGAAAATTTCAAATTTTTTAATATTGCGGATCCAGGTTTACGGCTTCTGTCGCTAGCCAAACAACAGCGGCGGACCAGCTGCTCCAAAAATCAATATATCGATTGGACGCTAACGTATGTATGCGTACGTCGCTCGGCCAATTTTCGTCATCTTTGTTTTAAGCATCAACTCACGCAAATCTATTCAATATTTGTTAAAAAAATTTTTTTGTCAGATTAAAGTATTAGGTTGTCCCAAAACTTTCTTTCGTTTTATTAAGAATTAATATATACACAATATTGTATGTTTTATGTTACCTTACTGAATTGTGGACGATTCGTTTTGCTTCATTACTGTTACAGCATCAATGTCTAAGAAATTAGATTGTCTATTTATATAAACACTGGCACAGAAACTAATTGAATGCAACTCACGAAAGAAACGTTTGAGACAACCTAATACTTGAAAAATCGTGAACAGTATTACATGGGACACCCTGTATATACAATCTATTTTGCTTAAATTACCTCTTTAATGAAAATTTAGAAATTTGTAAGGTGTTCTATTTTTTTGTCTCTGATTGTATCATCTAAAGCTTCCGGTATAAGCTGTATTCTTGAGATAAGGTACACCGATATTTTGCAGTTAGCTTCTTCAGAGATCAAATGATCAGTCAATATCAGTGTATTGCTTAAACCTTTAAAAAACCAGCTGCAGTGTTAGCAAAGTGTTGAAATATTATATGTAAAAGACGTGGCTTCCGGAAGTGTCTGTTTGCATAAACCATTACAAATGTAATTTTTCGTTGCTCTGGAAAGTTCAACAATCATAAATGTCTTCAACATTTCTATCAACGATACCACTAGTTTACAAAATAAAAAAAATGTACATTCAATGCCACAATTTTTTTCTTATGTATTTTGGCGTACTAAACTCAAAAATCGTAAGAAAAAGTTTTTCTATAGATAAGTTTTTTTTATATGAATTTTTGAATTCTTTTTCGATTTTTTTCTGACATACGTTCACATTTCAGGCCATATCTCGTGTTAGAAACGACTGATTGGTTCGCACAAGTCGCCATTTTAAAGGTAATCGAATTTCCAACCATTGCTTTTCACATTATTTTCCAATCGGTTCAATAGTTTAACGTTTAAACGTTTCCTATATAAATAGAAAGAAACAATAAGACACTGGACATAATTTGACAATTTCTATTTTTCCATGGCGATGGAAGAAATATTCGTGTTCTATTTTAGCCGAAAAAATCAATGTTTCTCATACATATTGGCTCGTAACACTTAAACTATTGAACCGATTGGAAAATAATGTGAAAAGCAATGGTTGGAAATTTGATTACCTTTAAAATGGCTTCTTGCGCGACTCAATTGGACGTTTCTAACTCGAGATATGACCTAAAATGAGAAGGTATATCAGAAAAAAATCAAAAAAAATTCAAAAATTCATATAAAAGAAACCTATGCGTAGAAAAACTTTTTCTTGCGATTTTCGAGTTTAGTACGCCAAAATACATAAGAAAAAAATTGTGGCATTGAATGTACATTTTGGCTGTAAACTAGTGTACCTAACAGAGCAAGGGGAATTTGAGTGTTTCCATTTAGAATTAATGAATTGTAATATTATTGTTTTAAACACAGTACGACGTAACACAGTGGTATTGTGTTGAAATTACGTAAGCACGAAGCAATCTCATTGTTCACAATCGTTTGTTTCAAGGGGATTCTATTCCCTGTTTTCACAACTACACTAAATTGACGTTGCGTCTCCTTGCGAAATATGCTCGATCGTTGAGGAAACGGAAGAGGGAAAGGTACATAAAAGGTCGAAGTAGAAGAGGTACTTGATTAAGACGCACGATACACTGGGGACGTATCGTTTCACCGCAACAATTAATTCGCTGTTGCTTTTACTCCTCCGTCATGTCCGCCATGTCTGATTGACGAGAAATGGGATAAGAGGGACCGAAATAGGGAAAGTCAAATAAACACCCCGGTGACAAGTTAATTAATAACGTCGTTTCCAAGTCCCCTTTGTTGATGGCCTTTTTATATTGGAAACCAAATGAATTCGTGTTCAGTATACCGTACAAAATATTTAACAACATATAAAAGAGAAAGTAATTAAATTAAATGAAAGGAAAATTGATGGCGATGTTCCAGTTTCACAACCTCAACTTCGTCAGCACAATACTTCTGCTTCATTAATGGGATTAATGTTTATTTTATTCGTACGAAATGAATTCTCATTAATTTAATTAATATATTGTCAAATGTATATTACATTTTTAAGTAGTTTTGGTACAATTAATTTTTTAACAAAATTTTTGTTACCGCTATTTGATGATGAATGAGACCATTTGTTCATTCATTTAAAATTCCCAAATACAGTCAGTGTAAGAAGTATTCGTACGGCAACCAATTTAAAATAAATGGCTCCTGTACGAATACTTATTACACTGACTGTATATGTATAAAATAGAAATATTTCAATAACTTTGAATGCTGCGTTGAATATGCCTTAAATTTTGTTCCCAACATTTGACAGTTTTTCTAATTATGTAACAAAATGTGATTACATTTTATATTCGCATTTTTAACAGAAATTATGACGATTAATTCGTATGTATTAGTAAAAAGAAAAAATAAAGGAGGAAGGAACATTAGCTGTGTGCTGAAAAGTAACTGTAATGTTGATAATATCAAATTATATTGCTTGACAAGTTCAATAAGAATTTATTTTTTAATAAGCAAGAGCTACTTACGTAATTATTTTTATTACTGAGTGTTCTCGTTTAAAATGTCTGTGTCTAGAATTACAAAACAAGATCGTAAAATATTAATTACTGCGTCACGTTTACGTTGATGTCATGTAATCCTTGTTTGTAGTTGATAAACTACATTTCTTAAGGTGTCTTCTTAGAAAGGAATAAATCGTTCGATGATAAAATTTTGTCATGTTTACATACTGTTTCATTATCAGGACAATCTTAAATATTTCAAACACATTATTCGTTCAAAAAAAAAAGAAAGAAAATATCACAAATTGCTTATTACATTTTTAAAGTCGTGTTCTTCCAAATTTCAAGGACATCGTTCTTCGTTCTAATATGATATATTTTCATTTACACAACATACAACTTATCACGCAATAATCTGCATACAATATGAACATTACACATATACAACCATTATTCATGTGTATATATGTACATATATATGTCATATATACCTTCACGATGAATGTAAAACTCTGTACATTTATTGCACTACAACTTTTACGTAGAATAATAATAATTTTTTAAACGCGCCACAGTTGTGATGTAACTGGAAGAAAACTACTGTATAATATTTACAGACGCATATACGAGTATTTTCTGAAATACGTTTTCCTTGTAAACGGATTTCCAACGATTACACGTCTTTCTAGGAAGCAAACATTTTCGCAAGGCTAAGTACAAACCGTTACTTCAAGAGTTCCTCTTTACGTGATAAGATAAGGTAGAAAGAAAAAAGACAAGAAAGAAACGTATGTCTCTGCAAGACGTATGACTCGGGGTTCTTTCTCTGCTTCGATCAAATTCAGTCGATGAGCTACCTATATTCTAACTTTTCCTCTTCTATTCTCCTTTGTTTCTGCTGAACGAAAGGTCGACGGTAATGGTATTGTTGTTTACACGCAAATACTAAGAAACCCAAGAAAATAAATAATTGACAAGTATTTCCGTTTAATATTTGAAGAAAGTTCACTGGAGGATTCGTGAAAAACATTTGGATAATACGGATCCTCAAATTTGTTTTAATGTATAAAAATAATCATGTTTGTTAATTCAATTTTTCTATTTATTTGATTAAGTCTTTAAAGTTTATGTCAGTAAATGAAAAGATAACAGAGTTGAAAAAATATATTTTTAGATATCAAAATAAAAAAGATTTACGGTTTAATTTTGAATAAAATTATTAACAATTTTGTAATAATTGTTGAGAATAAATGTGTTTGTACTCGTTTCTTCTTCGTTAAGAATTTTCATTAATCGAATTAACACTGGATATTGAGTCGAGTTTACAAACACTTTGTTATAGCTCTCGGTCATAACTGTGAGGTTTTCATCGATACAATGATATACAATGTAAATCCTGCGAACCTAAAATTATATTAGAAGATTAGTTTACATATTAGCTACCAGCGTCCTATGTGGAAAATATCTAAAGGAACATTTTTTTTTAGGATTTTATTGTAATGACATGGGATTATTAAAACGTAATAATGGAACCAAAATGAAATGCCCTGCGTTTTTTGTAACATTTTTATTAGAGCTCCCATTCATACGCGTACACGCGTATACGAGTTTCATGGGTAAGACGTAAAGACGTGTAGAAATGCGTGTAGGAAATATCCGTCTCCATATTACACGGATACACGATTATAATTATTCTTAATTAATTTTTGAAGTCAATAAATTGCAAAAAAAAAATGAATTTATTAATTACACGTGTAGGTGAGTAATTATCACACGTGTTTTTTTATATCCGTGTCTCGTAAACGTGACACGTGCACCCGTGTATCGTATTGTACGTGTTTTAGGCGAGGACTCTAATTTTTATATCGTATTATGAATACAAAAATACTACATCCCGTTATAATTTAGTTCGCCACCCTTGTCTGGAATATTTTCAGATTTTTATTAACAAAACTAATTTTATGTCGCGATATTTGTCATTAAAACAAATGTTTACAAAAGACATTATAACAAACAAAAATTTCGAAAAACTCCAGATTATTAAAGTATTGCTCAATAGTAAATATGAAAACAAATATATACATGTCGAATTGAGTATCCTCCTCCTTTTCGAAGTCGGTTAAAAATAAAATTTAAATTTCAAAAAGACCAATAGGTTAGTTTTTAATAAGCCAATAAAAATGGTAATTGTGCGCGTATATTTAATGGTAATGGTATGCGTATATTTTACTGATTACCTAATTTAGTTTATTTCCAATAAAAACGACTCCTTTAATTTTAATTTACATTTAGAGCACATAACTCTATTGATCTCACGTTATAAAATTTGTTCATCTTATATGAAGTATAACAAACAACGTATTTCACGATCGGTGCATAACAGTTTTCCAAGGAATACAAAGGTTAGTGTCTCAGCTTTATGGCGTTATAAATCAAGGATGGATTTTACCTTGCCCTGTTTCTGTTTGTTCATTTTATCCAGTTCAATCTCGTCCTTGGCCTTCCGTAGAAGGCTCCGTCTCTTCTTTTCCATCATTTTGGATTCTGAACTATGCGATACACATGCAACAATTGTCACGTAATAACCAAAGAGATTCTCTTATATCATTTGTACACGATTCAGTATTCATGACACGGCCAGATGAAATATGGAAGTTCCTTTCTCATATAAATTCATAATCCATGGACACACGCGTATCCCACTTATTTTAATCGAGAACTGCTAGCTTTACCGTAGCTTAATTCCTACCTTGTTCGACACGATTCTACAGTAAAATAACATTATGGAAATATTGTTAGCAAGCTGACTTTCTACGTACATTTTTAATTAAGTTGTTACTTGACTTGTTTAGATATCTCAAAAACTATACTATAAACATTGTTATCGTCGAAAATACTGATAGGAATAGTTTCTATAATATATGTATACAAAATATACATTTTTCGTGTTGCCAATCGTTTATACAGTGGATGTAGAAAGTATTCGTACACCGATCAATTTTCAAAAAAACTATGTAAAATTGTAACTTATTAACTTATTTTTTATAAACAATGACATTCTACATATTCTCAGTAATCTCTAGAATAGATAAATTACAAAGAAAATAGCTATTTATGTAAGTTGCGAAACTAACAAGAAAAAAACAATTAATCGGTAGAAATATTGAAACAGTAAGTATTCGTATAACTGTTTAACTTTTAAAACTTCATTAAAAAAAAGAAATTTACATTAATTTACAAGTATATAATACTTCCTTCGTAGGATTTCCTTTTGATTTTATAATTATTATAACTTTTCTAAGCATTAAATTAAATAAATTATTAGTTATTCGAAGTGGGATCTTTTTCCATTCCTCTATTAGAACCTTTTTTAAAAGTACTTTACTGGAAATTTGATGTTTTCTAATTCGTACGGAGCAATAATCTAATGTGTTTACGTTATAAACTCTACTGTAAATGGTTCGTCATAAGAATCGTACAAATACTTATTGCTTTTATACTTTTACCCACTTTTCGCACATTTTTTGTTAATTTCACAAATTATATTAACTAGTAAATGTTGTTTGGACTATATCTATCTTAGAGACTTCCGAGAATATGTAAAATATCATTAATCATAACAAAAGAAGTTAATAAATTAAAATTTTACATAGTTTTTTGGGAAATTGATCGGTGTACGAATACATTCTACACCGACTGTACATACGTAACATTATGCGAAAGTTTTGAACTTGAACTCGTAAGAATATTAATGTATATTCTTGTAGAATTATTCCATCGTTATCGAACGAATTTTACATGCCGATTGAAGATACAGTGAAATTACATAAAAATTCGAAGATTAAAATAGTATTCAAAGCTTTCGCAACACGCTACCAGTAAACTATGAACTATACAAAAAAATACACTGCACCTTTTTCATAGAAAATTTCTTTATCTTTATTTCCGATAATAACCACTATTGAGGTAAACCCAACCGTTTTTGAGATATCTTCTAACAACGATTAAATGAAAATTCAAGCAATAAATGAGCTAGATACAAATACTTACTTCCACGATAAAATCTAACGTGACTGGACTACGATCAATCGTATGCTATTCGAACCAAACGAGAGGCATAATAATTACAAGTGACGATCAAACAATGGACGCTATAGAGTTGTCTCTAGAGGCTATATTCACCGATTAATTATTCGCGGGTTAAATTAATCATGTGCGGAGCCAAACGTTTCGAAATTTTCGCGATTACGTATCAGTTGGTTAATCGCCATTTCACCATTGAATCGTGCGACAGTGTCGATAGATAAACGTCGTATTCAGTCTCGTGTTTCGAGCCGGTCGTACACGAGAAACGGTGACCCGTTTAAGAACTTTCACTGAGAAGCACAACAATTACGAAACGCTACTTTTATTTCCATGAGTTTCAATGAAGCTATTCCTCGTAGCACCTGCTAGTGTTTCGATAGTCAAAGTCGTTTTTTCACTTACTACAATATTATGTTAATTAGCATGAAAAAAGAAGCGAAATAAAACAGGTCACTAGAAGGAAACAAGTTTGACGACGAAATGGAGAACGAGGACTCGCGTTGACTAACGATCCGCACCAAAACGTTCACTGAGGGTCCGCCAATGTCGTCTCATTGTTTTTAAAGTGCCCAACAGTCGTGGGTGCTCTGACACATACTAACTACGGCCCCGCAGGGGGGCTTAAGGAGACACCTGCGAGCTGTTCCTGATCAGGTGGCCTTTTAGTATTTAATTCCCCGATCGCGCGCGTATAAGTTTTCAACGTCATGAATCGTTTAAAGCTGCGCGTAAGATTCGAGTCGTTAGGATTATCGTTAAAATTCCATCGATACTTAATCCTTTGCACTTTGATGTCCTCTTTGACGGGGTATCGTAACAAACATTGTCAGTGATAGTCAGCATGATAAAATTGCATGATTCCTTCAAGTTTTTTATTCGAATGACATGAAAAAGCAAATAAAATTATGGTATATGTATATAGGTATACTAGGATAAAATGAGTGAAAAACTGAGCGAAATGTGGAAGGATGACCAAAATTTTTAAGCTGACTTTCAAACAGCATATAAGACACCCTTTTTCCATAACTACATCTTTTTGACCTTTAGTTCTTGACTACCTGGCAGATCGTCTTGCCTCCGGACTGGTTGTTGATTTAGCTTTCTCAGGATACCTTCTCGTACCTCCATTTCATCTTGACACTCGAAGATCTTTTCGAAATACGATACACGTCGATGTACGATGCACTACGGTGCATAAGTATAGTATCGCTATAATTTTCGTGCGTTTTGTAGATTTAATTAATAATTTCTAATTTTTAATAGTATCACATGAAAGAGGCTAAAAATATATTATAGCAATGATAAAACGGTGAACATAACATTTATTTAAGACAATTAATAATAATACTACAGATATTTCATGGGTGCACAACTATAGCACCAATGGAATTATAACATATTAACAATATTAAATTATAATGCAATGATTAAATTATAATTCCAGCGAATAAAAGGGAATGATTTAATAATGAGTAGGGCCTCCTTTCTTCTCGATTAACTCAAAAATGCGACTTGCCATACTCCCAACTAGTTTTTTCAACATTTCATCGTTAATTTCATTCCAGGATTTTAGTACAGCTTCTTTTAACTGCGAAATGCTCGAAAATTATTGATTGTGTGCATAAATACGCCTTACCATCGTACCCCATAAATTTTCCATCGGATTTTGATCCGGGGAGCATGCTGGCCACTTTAATAAATTTATATTAAGTGTTTGAAACCACCTTAGTGTTGCTCGACTTTTGGATATTGGGGCATTATCTTGTTGATACGTCCAAGTAATGTGGTTCTTCGAATGAATAAACGGCAACAAATTGTTCTCCAATATTTCAATATAGTCTAAACTATTCATTCTGGATGAAGGAAACGCTAATTCCAGCTTGCCACTCGAGCAAAATGCAGCCCATATCATTAACGTTCCCCTTCCAAAATTTCGTTTAAAGAAATATTTTGAGTCTTTTCGTAGGTCTCTCCAGTAACAATTGAATCCATCTGGCCCATCGAGATTAAACTTCTTCTCGTCGGAAAATATTACCTAACAAAGAACATTAAATGGAAGAAAATAATGTCATCTCTTAATTTGCCGATTAACATTCAACTTACATGATTCCAGTTTGTATTCATGTTTCCGCGGACGTATTCCATTCTTGCTATTTTGTGGGGTTTAGAAAGAACCGGTGGTGAAATTAGTTTTTGTCTGGCAATGTTTGAATTCCTTCTAAAGACGCGTTGAATGGTCCAACGCGACACTTCGAGTCTACATTCCGCTGCAATTTCCCGACAGCTTTTCAAACTATTGCTCCCAATTTTAATAATCTACCTCTCAGCACGCAGAGACAGTTTCTTCTTAGGTCCTCCTTTTTCATTTTGGCCATATTTCGACGGATTACGTAAAAAGTTTGATATTACTTTAGGGGATTGCCCAAGTTTATGTGCAGTTTCCCTAATTCCCAGTTCTAGTTTGTTGTAAGCTAAAATTTCATCTTGCTCTTTCTCAATAAGATACTTATTACGCGTGCATTGTATTAATTAATAAATACAACTCTGAATTACATGAAAATTTGGTGACAAACACGGTTGAAGTGTGATGACAATGAAGGTGGTGCTATAGTTTTGCACCGATTCTATAATGTTTTTCGACTTTATATCGATATATGCTTAGACTACTTCAGTATGTTTCCTCTGAAATTAATTATTTACATCGCTTTTTCATATTAGCCTATTAGATATGAAGGTCATCTATGGTCTTTTAAATGGAACTGTATGTTTTTGCTTCCGTATCGTAATAGAGGATCTTCAAAAAAGTTCAACGATGTATTACACAAGGTGATTTTTCTTCAACTATCTGGATTTACTTAATATGCTTAAAAGTTAGTGAATAAATTCTGTGGAAGTGTGTGTCACGTTACGAATTGTAATTTGAAATTATTTTGGTTTGAAACTATTTGGTTTTATGCTCGTCGTATTGTCCAGATTATGTTCAGCTTAATTTGCTCGGATTATGTCGTGTTTCGATTTTGAGTTGCTAATTGCTTAATAGAGCCATTAACGATGTCATGCAGTGATAACTACAGCGATTACGCGCGGTTCATCTGGTTTCCATGCCTACACACGACTCGATCGGTGACGTGTTTTGTTTTAACAATGAAAAGAATTTCGTAATTGAATACTGTTTTAACTAAACTGGACGCGAAATTGACGTTCGCGCCGTTGTCAGCGTAAAGGAATATTGCGGTTATTGGAACACCGCAAGCGATAACGATGATGATAGACCTCGAACGTCCACTATTATCGCAAACCAATGTCCCGGATTTCTCCTTTGCCGCAGACGAGTTATTACAACAGTAATTGATGAACGACGAACGTTAATTGAAAACCGTGACTTCTTTCCAACGGCGTTTTGCAATTTGTCGTGTTACATTTAACTCAAAGTAACGTAATTATATGGAGAATGGCGCTCGGTGTAGCATCGTAAAAGAAAATGGGTTTAAGTCCAGGCAAGACAGTTTTGAAAGTAGTCGTTCCAGAACAATCAGAGGGTTTCCTACTAAATTAATTAAAAATTATCAAAGGTCATCTACAGTAGCGGAGAAAAATATTACAGCAAACATTTTTTAAAATTTCGTTGTATACCATTTTATGTATCAGTCTTCCGAAGTCAATAACATAAAATATTCCGTGTAACCATGATAACTTGAATATAAAGTTATATTTGTATGAATTTACATGTATATAAGCTGTATATATGTTTACGCATTGTGTATAATTATATTTATCTTAATTAACACGTTCACGCCGGCGAATGTATACCACCGGTGGCTCACACTTATACTACTGTGATCAAAAAATATTAACGCTTCAAATAAAACACAAACGGCTTATTTAATTTTTCAAATTTATTTCATCCCCTTTAAAGTAGTCTCCATTGGAGACGATTCACTTTTGCCAACGTTATTTGAAGAAAGCACACATTCATGGCACAGATGGCAAAGAGCAAACACTTACGTTAATTTACAGAATTTTCACCATAAAAATTCCATACCAGATGTGATAAGGGCAATTTATGAAGCTCTGAGGAATTATGATCTGCTTTATAGGTTTTTAAAAGGATTTACAGTAAATTCAAATGAAGTAAGCAATGTGTAAGTAATGTGATTTGGAAGTTGGCACCGAAAAAGTAATTTAGCAGTTACATCATGTTTTAATGAAGGAAAAGAGATTCTATTTAACATCATGTGAAGATTCGACATTGAACCTGGTTTATACACTGCGGTGCATAACTATAGCACCACTGAAATTATTAAGATTTTTTAAACATAAAAGAAAATTTCAAAGAAAGTACTTGGCTAATATGAAAAAGCGATGTAAATAATTAATTTCAGAGAAAACATACTGAAGTAGTCTAAGCATATATCGATATAAAGTCGAAAAACATTATAGAATCGGTGCAAAACTATAGCACCACCTTCATTGTCATCACACTTCAACCGTGTTTGTCACCAAATTTTCATGTAATTCAGAGTTGTATTTATTAATTAATACAATGCACGCGTAATAAGTATCTTATTGAGAAAGAGCAAGATGAAATTTTAGCTTACAACAAACTAGAACTGGGAATTAGGGAAACTGCACATAAACTTGGGCAATCCCCTAAAGTAATATCAAACTTTTTACGTAATCCGTCGAAATATGGCCAAAATGAAAAAGGAGGACCTAAGAAGAAACTGTCTCTGCGTGCTGAGAGGTAGATTATTAAAATTGGGAGCAATAGTTTGAAAAGCTGTCGGGAAATTGCAGCGGAATGTAGACTCGAAGTGTCGCGTTGGACCATTCAACGCGTCTTTAGAAGGAATTCAAACATTGCCAGACAAAAACTAATTTCACCACCGGTTCTTTCTAAACCCCACAAAATAGCAAGAATGGAATACGTCCGCGGAAACATGAATACAAACTGGAATCATGTAAGTTGAATGTTAATCGGCAAATTAAGAGATGACATTATTTTCTTCCATTTAATGTTCTTTGTTAGGTAATATTTTCCGACGAGAAGAAGTTTAATCTCGATGGGCCAGATGGATTCAATTGTTACTGGAGAGACCTACGAAAAGACTCAAAATATTTCTTTAAACGAAATTTTGGAAGGGGAACGTTAATGATATGGGCTGCATTTTGCTCGAGTGGCAAGCTGGAATTAGCGTTTCCTTCATCCAGAATGAATAGTTTAGACTATATTGAAATATTGGAGAACAATTTGTTGCCGTTTATTCATTCGAAGAACCACATTACTTGGACGTATCAACAAGATAATGCCCCAATATCCAAAAGTCGAGCAACACTAAGGTGGTTTCAAACACTTAATATAAATTTATTAAAGTGGCCAGCTTTTAAATTTTCGCGATGAAAATTTTGACCTAATTTTTCACTTGTTAAATCTACGTAATAAATGTTCGTTTTGCATCAGAGAGATGGGAAATTTAACGCTCTTTCGAATGGCATA